GTTGTGATCTTTTACGCTTATTACTATATTTAATACCTTTTTCGTAAACAGCCTTTTTAAAAACAATGCTTTCATACAGAACTGCAGCCTCATTCTTTGTCGGTACATGCCATTGCTGTAATAACAGGGGCGGATCCAGCTCCTGAGCTGACTGATGCATACATAAGAACTCGCATCCTCCCCCGGGAAATTTTGAAATCTAGAACCTCGGAAATGGAAATGCGATTTCCTGCGTTCTGAGCAAACTCTTTTGTTCCAATTCATACATCAGAGTCACAAAATTATTTGCTGCATTTTTGGAAAGCACGTAAAAAACTTGAACCTATATATCGCAAAAACAGCATAATTTTTCCATATAAGAAAAAATATTTGCTTGTACAAGTGTAATAGCAGCAGCGGTGCATAAGTCTCTATTAAAAAATAGTCAGTACTTACTACTGTGCTTCTTGTAGCCTTAACTTTTCTATTGAAAAACATTTCGGCAAAGAGTCACGACAACGCAAATACACACATACGTGTAACAAAGGTGTATACAGTGTGATCCACTAGTTGCAATGTTGGACTCAAAAGACAGTGTTATTAGGTTTCTTAACCACCTTCCCTGAGGCTTATTCATTTCCACTAATTTGCAATGTTCCATGAGTAATTTTTTTTAGCATTAGAATGGTGCATAAAGGTATTTTGTGCTCTAGTTGGTAAACTTATTTATATACAACTCTGTCTTATGCTGCTAACCTTACTCTGTATGGACAGTGTTGTTGGCATCAGTATGTCAACTTTATTCACCCCTAGCAATAGATGCCTTTGATGTGAATTGCATATTTGCATGGTGACTAGCCCACACTCTAAATTACTGAGAATATTGCCCTGTCACCAGGAAACCAGTAAAACTAACACACAACAAGCACTGTTGTATAACTATAGGTACACATGACCCCAAACTTTAAATCAATAGATATATATAGTGATACTGTATGTAAATTGATTTAATGAACTATCTTAGTTGAAAATTGTTTGTCAAATGAACCTACAAAACTGTACAATGATAAACAATATATGATGACATAATTGAATCATCAGATGTCTTCTATCAGTCCCCTTTTGCCTGCCTTTCAACTAATATATTAATATAGTACTCTTTTAAGATGATGTCAATGTAGAAAGGCTGCGCAGTA